AAAATCCCTGATTCGGTTTGTTACTTTAGTGACACGGTTCGATTTTTTTTTCCAATACAAAAACTGAAATTTCCATGCCCTTCTTAACTAGTAGTTTATTGAAATTAATTATGAACATTTGTTTAACCTCAAAAGTACAGTTTTTAAATGAAATTTTGCTGAAACAGCAAGTTTCTCTGAGGATCTGGGCTCGACAATTCAGCCTAGGTGGAGTAGTGTCGAACACAGATCCACTTATCCTTCAACACAGAGCATCTTCAGAAGACAAGCTGATAAAATAAATTTTAAAAATCTGTATTGTTTGATATACTGTAAGTGTGTATTGAACCTAAAGCACTGTATTGAACGATTCGTTACAGATGCATGGATTGTTGCACCCCTAGTTGCCAAATGTCTTTTTTTTTTGAGTTCGTCTCACATTTCTAGTATTTTTTGACATACTGAAGCTAAGTGAAGAAAAGTTTGAGTTGGGCTACAGATGCCTGCTATGACATTTCACAATTCAGTACCTTGTGAGTAGGAGTGGGCGATACTAGGAATTTTAGAATTGAGTCGATACCAAGTAAATACAGGGTTCGAATCGCCGATTCTCGTCATGTGCATTGAACAGTTTTGGGATTTTACCTTTAGTTAGTCAATTATGATAAAACACAAGATTTTAGGGAAATAAAAATGTTTTGTATGAACAGACTACAACAAACTAAAACAATGCAGCAGTGTAAAATAATAAAATGTTTCCCCCATACYGTCTACTACACAGTTTTTCAAGAAAAAATGGCCTAGCGCAAAATACAAAAAAAAGTAACAAGATGTGAATATAAAGATGTCAATAGCAACAAAAACTAACTTCCATTGATTGTGGGAATGAAGAAGAGGAATAATAATTAACTCCAAACAATTTGCAGACTCTGCACTGACTGTATTTTTCACTTTATATGTGAAAATAAAGTTGCAAATAAATTGCAAACAGAAGAATCTAATGTTAGTATTTATCTGGTACTCATCTTGGAGTTGATAATATCAATACTTAGATCAACATGTCCAACCCTAGTGAGAGTATTAAATGGATTAGATTGTTTAATTGATCAAACAAAAACAAACAAAAAAAATCAAGTGAAGATTTAACATTAACCCAGAGAYTTAGTGAAAACCTGATATTCTCACTTAGAAAAGGACGATCCGTGACATTTGAGATGGTCGATTAGATTTATCTGCACCTTTAACCAATATAGGGAAAAATAAATGTTTGCTTTGATCCAAGTTTTGTTTAGATTTGAGTCTGAGGGAAAAGGAAAGAAACGGACGTGACGACAGATTTGCAAGGATTCAGGAGCTTCAGGAGTGAAGTGATGGTCAATAGTCTGTTGAAAATATACTTTTTCCCTAACAGAAGAGTGATGTTTCATTTGGGGACTCACTACAAATAACTCAGTACTTTTCATGCAAATAATTGTAAAGCAACATGTAAAAACCTGAGACAAATAAATGGAAGGAATGCAGGTTTTGTTGATGGAAGTGAAAGAAGCTGCTGTTTTTAATAGGTTTGCACTTTTGAATGAACAAAAACATAAAATCAGTAGGAAACGAACTAAAAGTGTCTTCCATCTTCATATATCCTCACATACATGCAGCAAATGTGGCACGAAGTTAGGAAACCTCAGAGATAGAACCAGATGGTTGTAGCTTCCTGGAAATCCTCCAATAGAAACATTCCTGCCTGTTTATGACTTATAACACACAAAGGGTGTCACTGCACTAAAACCCAACCCCAAATATTAAAATAACTGTATCCCACATTCACCGTGCAAATCAAAACGAACAAACCAGACTGCACACTTACTTCATCCGCCTTCCTGTTTAACATTTGAACCCGTTTTGGTCGTAATAAACGTAAAAAAACAAAAGCCACTAGTAGAGAAAGTTTTAATAAAAACGATTATTCTGCAGACTCTGAATACACAGGTGCTGCTGAGCCGTTCTGGCTGCGCCGCTGCGTTTCAGCTTCTCCTCCCAGAAACCTCGGGACACTTTGGATTCGAGCCTTTTGGATGTTTTAACAAGCAGATTTTATGTTCCTACTTTTCGCCAGTGTATTTTTTCAGCTTTTCTCCGAGTATCGTTGAAACAAAAGCCACTCGGTCGGGTGTTATTTGTGACTTTAAGCAACTTTAAAATGCGTTTTATGGCACAAATACACATGAAAAACAAAAGTGGTTTATATTAAAGGGGATTTCGTTAAATGCTTAAGCTTCACATAGCATTTTGAACACATAAAACTGCTGTTGCACAAAGCCTTTGTGACATTTAAAACATAAAAGGGAWATTCTATGGGTGTATTTGTCTTGTACTTTCCTATCGCCAGAGTCCGGCTCTTTTATGGACATCCAGTAGAAACTGGGTTTATCTTTGCGCATGTGAAAACTTTACACAGACTCACGCACATGTATAAACATTTGCACAGTAAAGTCAGACTTGCTGCACTCAAATATACAGAGTTTACAAAGTTGCTACTTTTATTGAGTTAGTCGGCAGTTTAGTGTGTGCTTGTGACGGTGCTGTAAGCTTAAACAGGCCTCTCTTCTGTTTGACTCCGTGTCATAATTCAGGTGGTGTTTTTAAGTTTAACCGGGGTCGCTCCACATCTGTGCGTCTACAGTATGACAGGTTCTGATCTTTGTCAGCTGAGAGTTCTGTGACAAAGCCACAATGGCTTCCAGACTGCTTAAACAAGGATTAAGCTCTTTCTYCCACAAAGCATGACTTTCTACTCTCCCTCCTTTTTTTATTTTTTTTTACTTTCGCTCCCCGTCTCTCCAGACGATGATTTAAACTCGGCTTCCCAGTAATCCCTGCGTGAAAAGACCCTCGCTCTGCAGAAATCAGAACCGTCATCTCGTCATTGATTCATAGCTTTTTCGCTGAATTCCTTTACGGATTTTTGACATTATACCGGCTCAGAGGTGTTATAATGCAGAGTTGTGCCTCCTGCTGTGTTGTCAGAATGTCTTTCAGTTTGTTCAGGCTGTTGGGGGGAAAAAAATATTTAATGGCAGCAACACATTTAAAATAAGAGTTGTGACAGGGTTATGTTTATCACTGTTTATCACCTGTTTTCTTTAGCAGTTTATAAAACTGATGGGACCAGCGGTGAGGAATGTTGCTTTATTCTTGTCTGATGTAGGAATCCAGCTCTTCAACAGTCCTGCATCTTCTTTAATAGATTTTTGTTTCATGAAGTGTCATTACACGTGTTCATTTCTTCACATTGCTACATCCTTATATGCTTTTCACACCACTAATATTTGATTAAGTCTTTTACCAGGATTGTATTAATCATCCATCTTTTCTTACCATTGCCCCCTTGTTATGTCTAGCCATAACAGTGATTCATTCCCTGTGTTTAGATTACCTTTTACGTGTTGGAGTGATTCATATGTCATTCATTGGTCAAAAGAAGAAAAAAAATTAAAATGGACAGTGGCGTGCACAGCTAACCAAAATATTAGGTTCACTAACCCCTCAACTTAGTTCCACCAATGATGATAAGAAGCTACAAAGATAAAAAAATTGTTGGTGGTAAATGGTAAAATGGTAAAATGCTAATACTGTATGTAATGTAATATGCCTCAGACCTCTCAGTCATGGTGCAGTTTTACAGTCAATAACCAAAACTTCAACACATTTCAAACCAAACCTGAATATGTCAAACGTAAGCTGACACAACTCAAAATGCTTCGTAAATCACAGGTAAAAGTTTGGTTTAGAGGTGAGGTTTGTTTCAGTAAAACCAGGAGGCGGAGCTACAACATAGAGACACCGCAGCCTTTCACCTCATGTTTCTGTTAATATATTTCTTATATTTAAATCTTATTAACACTAAAATATGAACATTTGTATGCCCCAGATTAAAGCAAAGATGTGTGTCTAAGCTACGTTTACATGGACATAAGTAATCGGATTAAACGGCCGTTCGGAATAAAAATACGTCATGTAAACAGCCCGTTCCGATTATTCTGATCCGATTGAGCTCGATCCGAATGAAAAGAGTGGGTTATGCCAATTGATAATCGGAATGAGGTTCATGTAAACATTTAATCGGATCATCTTATTCTGATTGTAGAAAACTGACCTGTGCGCATGTCTGCTGACTTTCATTCACCTGGTTAGAGGAGGTGGGACAGCAGCGCTCCAGCTGCGCTGCACCGTGCAGAACTTTTCCTCCTCGCTCTCTTAACAGATGAAAAAGGATGCAAACAGCAGACGTTGCTTCGCAAAAAATAAAAATAAAAAGCACGTATTGCTTYATCTGCAGGCTGCAGCTCAACCGAGGAGACGAGTAACGACGTCTCTACCGTTATTAAAAGCTGACACGGGTCCATCCTGAGCGCACAGAGGAGCTTTGTAACACGGAAGTAGAGCTGAACGTTTACAACACTGCACATGTCCGTGCATGTAAACACTTTTCATGATCGGATTGCGTCCATGTAAACAGTACATTCGGATTATTTAATCTGAATACATTTCAATCCGATTAAAAAAAATTTGTGCATGTAAACATAGCTTATGTTTATTTTACTTTACATCAAACTGAGGAGACACTCTCTGTAACTGAAGGATGTTCCAGCTGCAAAGGATGCTAGGAAAACTTCTACAAATGAATTTTTGTGACTTCTTCTGAGTGTGTTTTTTTTTAGTATATTCTTATATGTTAAAGCCTCTGTTTCTGCCTGTAAACTGAAACCACGAGTCAGAAGATCTGGTTCGTATAGAGGAATAGACTGATTGGGGACGTGAATATCCTCGACTGCTGAGATAAAGTTAGTTTGTGACCTGTAGCATAGCTATCCTGCTCTACTTTTTTGTTTTATTCTTTTGGCGCAGCACAAAAGGTATTAGCGGCGTATAAAATAACATAACAAAACATGCACCCCCATAACAAATTATTCAGATGTTGCATCGTCTAATCTATTTATTATTGAATCCCGTTTGTGTTTCTGCAGACAGATGAAGGACCAATCAAAGAAGGTGGCCAACCTGAAGCACAAGGAGCAGCTGGAAAAGAGCCGAAACGCTCAGCTGATGGAGGAGGCCAAGAAGCGGGAGGACAACCTGAACGAAAGCTCCCAGCAGATTAAGGTACCGAGGAGAGGAGAGGAGGAGGAGGCAGGAAGCTTTAAGGAGTCAGAGGAGTGAGAAGAGAAAAGTTTCCCTCCGTGCTCTTTGAGGTAGCGTCTTGCTTTAACAGCTCGACGTTGTCACGAGGTGATACGTCGCAGCCCGAGGCAATGTCAAACACGCTCACGCTCACACACGACAGTTCCCGGCTGGGATGGTGTGAGGAGGGTAGCTGAGCTGAGAGGAGAGGAGACAGGAGGGAGGTGATTACAGGAGAAGGAGTAAAAACTATGAAATGAATGCTTTTGGTTTTCTGAAAGCTTCTCTGTGGCTTCGGAGCATTTCCTAATTATCTACTGGGTGCGTCAAGTGACCACCAGTTAGGAGTCATAAGTGGTGTGATGAGCGTGTGGTTTTCTTCATTTAGCTGCAGATAGTAGGTTCTCTTTTACCTCTTTTTCATTTWACTTTCACCTTAAATTTCTCCTCAGCGTTCACTTCTTACTTTTCCTCCCCCTTTGCTTCCAGTAATTGCTAACCTCATTGGCTCTTTGATTATAGACGGAGGAAAACCACCAGCGTGTGTTTTATGTGAAGAAGCGTATGCAGAGTTTAGCTATGATTGATTTGCTTTAAGTGTTCACAGCGTGTGCGTGTGTGTGTGCGTGTGTGTGTGCGTGTGTGTGTGCGGGGTTTGAAGATGAGCTCATGTGAGTCACTGAGACAAATGAGACTGCAATGGTTACAGCCATAGCAAGCAAGTGTGTCATTCTGAATTTTGCAAATCCGTACCAGAATGAGAATAATCTGGACAGTAAATTTATTTTGAGGCAATAATGAAAAAGCTTTGTTCCAATTAAAACCCGTCTTGCTTTGCATTGTTGGACTCTAAGTAACGTCAGCTCTGTGAGGGTTTAGATTCTCAACACATGTGTTTAAGGTTTGCTCACGGCCACTGTAATGTCTCATCGTCTCTGTTTCGCTCCGTCGCTCGACTCAACCAGGACAGTCTGCTGCCTGGCAGGAAGAAAAATACATCTTTGTTTATAAGGAACTGATGGGAAGCTCATGTAGTCATTTAATTGAGTTTTATGTTATAAAAATCAGATTTTTTTTCTGGTTGAAGGGAAGAGGAAATGTCTGTCCAAATCATTTTTAAGTTAAGATGTGAGAATTTTACAGTAGTTGTGGTTTAAATTTTTTATTGCATATGGAATTTATTTTGTTTTTAAAAGAAATGAATAAAGTCTAATAATAATAATAATAATAATAAAAAAAGTTAAAATAAAACTTGTCAGATCTGAGTACGACTTCATTAGATTTGGTAAACATGTGTTTTAGGCTGGCTTGGAACTTTCTAAACAACTATTTAGTTTTTTTTTCTGATGCAACGACCTCTTAAAATCTAGTGAGAATAAAATATTTAAATCAAACGTCTACAATTACATAATGATTATTTTGGACCAKCTCAAAAAGGCTCTTTGCAACAGAATATTTATGCTTTCTAGATGACGAGACACCGCTTCAGGATTTCATGTACACCTCATGATAAATTTTATTAACTTTKAATAACTTATCTGCCATTGAGTCATATATATTTGTTTGACACAATCACACAGACTAGATCATAATGTCATTTATTGCATTCTACTGGTATTTATGGTGTAAAAATATATATTTCCAATATATTTGCAGCACACGGCAAAAATTAGCATCGAAAAATAGTTTAAATATAGATTATACTCTGAATCTTCTCCAATTAAGTGAAATAATCTATCAGTGCAGTAAGATAACTGCACGTGGTAGGAATACTTGAATTAAATAATACAATTTCCAGGGTAACTGAGTTTTTAAAGAGTGTCTTAGATGAAATGTAGCTTTTTCTGTGYATGAAATCAGATATTTAAAGTCTTAAGTCACTAAAAACTCAAACTTTCAAATGGAAAATCTTATTTTGCKTTGGGCCTTGTACAATTGAAAAGTGAACAGTTGAAATATAACCYATTATTTTTTCAGAACCAGACACATTCGCCCAATTTTATCTTTGAACTTCGCTGYCTTTATTGAACTCTCAAACATCCAAACTGTAGGTTAATGTCGGCTCTTTTCACAGATAATAAATGTAATTTGTATGTATGAAAACATCACCAAAGATCGTTCAAACAATAAAAATGGCCTTAAAAATAATGAAAGGAAGGGTTCTTACAAATTCTGCTCAAGAGATGTCAAAGTCTGAAAACCTACTGACCAAAACCACAATCAACGATACAGGAAAATCCAGCTCCTTGTTTGCTCAGTATTGTGAAATTAGCTGTGGTTTAAAAGACTTTTGCACAGTTTTGTAGATGTTTCATTCAAGTGGAACTATAAGGTCTCACAGACCGTCTCACATGCACAGAACTATTATACACTAAAGGAAAGAGGAAAAAACCCACAAACCATAACGTGTAGTCTTTAACAACTCATTCCCTTCCACCTGAGCTGTTCTTTGGTCCCGTTCACATCTGGAGTTAACCGATCAAAAAYAGAAAGCACAAATTACTTATGCAAATGCACCCAGGATGCATTTAGGCTACTTTGACTTCCAGTCATTCGTACCGTACTCCATGGTGGTCCTTATTGCATACGGTCACTTTCTTTTAGAAGTGCAAACATGTGCCGTGAGGACCACCWGTCCGACTGAGTGGCCCTCCCAGCGGTGTAAAAAACAACTCAKTTTGCAGATTCCTTCACCAGGGTGGAGTGTCCTCTGCTGCTGTTAACCATTTATTTTGCATAAGGCTGTAGGCGAGATGTGAAGGTATAAATAAAGCACTTAAAAGCAAATTAATTTATATTGTTTGTTTCATAGTTAGGATTTAGTTGTTACAGATGATTGTTGCTAGTGAAGCATCATGTCCAGCCCTGAGTACAAAAGTGTAAAAGTGAAAATACCTTAACAGAAAAGGACTTTGGTAAAAATGAATTTGACTGATGAGAAAAATACTTAAAGTAAAAGTCATAAAATTGCTCACAATAATCAGGAAAGTAAAGTACTTTTACACATACTCTAAGAAATAAAATGTTGAATTAACTTAGTTGAGTTGCGTAAATTGCTCAATTTGTTCAACTCGGTTTAGTGGAACCAGGTTAAGTAAATTCAACACTTCAATTTTTGGAGTTCATAAACACTTATAATGTGTAATAGGTGTTAAATTTAAAGTAAAAAAGTAAAAGTGTCATTTTTATGTTTTGAATGAAACAAACTAAAAGTTATGATTTATGAAAATACTTTTACAGATGCTCAAAAAATTACTTAAAGCGCCTGTGACGTGCCATCCAAATACAAAAAAATGAAAGAAAGTATCTTTATATTTAAGAAACTTAGCTTATTACACGATTATACCCCAATTGTTACATAACTGGCATATTTTTGTTGAACTTGGCTCGGCCAAAGTGAAACAGGAAGTGACATCAAAGGGGAACTCTTCAAGAGAAGGAACTCCCTGGTCTATGTTTTTTGAAACATTTTTTGAACTTTGACTCTTCTTCATCTCCCTCTGATAGTGTCTCAGAATAATCGAAATAAACATCAGATTATTTAGTTTGTGTTGTTAGCTATTGTTTTAATGGTCCGTTTACATGCAGACATTCCMCTTTGACATCACTTCCTGTTACTTCACATGTAAATATCTCAACAACTGTGTGACTTATTTTTTTTGCAATATGTTATCAGTAATAGCTTTAAAAAAACTTTCATATTTAATACAAAAATTTGACATCACAGGCACTTTAAGTACTGTAATGAAGTAAATGTACTTTACTGTACACCTCTGCAGAGCAGTTTGAATTTTAATGTTTATTGGTGTATATTCTGTCACTCTGTTTCTAAATCTGGGATTAAGATTCAAACGCAGAATTTAATCTGCGTCGTCCTTTTTCATTTCCACGCAGGACTCGCTCCGTCAGAAGGAGGAGCGCATCGAGGAGCTGGAGGAGGCGCTGCGGGAAAGCGTCCAGATCACGGCGGAGAGGGAGGTGGTGTTGGCCCAGGAGGAGCAGGCACGCACGCAGTCCGAAAAACAGGTGACGTCTCCCGGTTTTAACTTGTCGTCTTCACCGCATGTAGGAGAACCCTTTTTTCCCCCCATCGATGTTTCCCACAAACTCAGTCCCAGTTTCTTTTTTCCTTAAAACATCTTAACAAAAACGTATTCAGAGTAAAAAAAAAATAAACAATTCTGCGTCCAACTAGAAAATCACCAAGCTTAAAGCGGTTTACGGCAACACACACTCATTCAGGTGTGGCTCCGTGTTTGCCCGGTCACTTTTCATTTACAGAAGAGGTGAATGCATACGGTACCTTTTTTTTAAGAACAGTTTACATTTTGTCTGCTCCTACTAGCAACACACAAACAACTTTTTTTTTTATTTTTAAACCACCCGAACTCCGTAACGCATTTCATCTGGTCTATATACGGACAGTAGAGGAGCTCATAGCGAGCGGTGAGGGAGGCTCTGAAGGGAAAGGCTTTGGTGGATGCAACCTCAGACCGCTGGGAGTGTGTTTGTGTGTTTCGCTCCCCGGAGTGGCAGCGACTTAACGAGGCCACAGAGATGGGAAATGTTCCTTGTTGGCTGGATGGGTTTTGACAAGTGGGGGAGAAAAAAACCCCAGCGTGGGCTTAAAGGACCAAAACTGTGCAGTGAAAACATGGCCTGCTGTAGCTGTTGGCAAGAACGGCCGGACTCTGTTGTTGTTACTGTCTGCTCTGGCCTTTTTATTTAGTCTTTTTTTTTCTTTAACTCAAACTTGCAAACCCTCCTTCATGGTGGGTGTTGATGAGCAGCACAGCAGGAGAAGGTTTGAGACTTGATGGGCAGAGACTGCTGACAGATCACTGTCTGTGTGAAGGTGAAGTTCAGATAAAATAAAATAAAAACTGTGTCAAGATCAAACTCAATTTGTCTTTTCAAATTAGTCAGGTTTTCARAAACATCAAATATGACAAGAGAACATGGTTAAAGTGATGCACATGACAGCTGGAATTGCCTTATTGTTGTAATGATGCAACTGATGAGAAATAGCTTCTTTGAAATGCACAGAATATAATACCAAAAATGTTTTGCAGCTTTTGAAAGTTGGATTTCTGTTGTCAGTTTAATCAAAATTAGTGTTTTTCTCCACTCTCTCAGTCAGACATCTCAATTATAATGACATCCTTATTTTCACATTAGATGTTCTTGTGACGTTCTCTAGTTTGAGAACCACAGAGTCTCGTCTCCGCTTGATGCGGATGATGTGGTTCTSTTGGYGTCTTTGGGCCAAGACCCTCAGCGTGCACAGGGGTGATTAGCAGCCGAGTGTGAAGTCCGAGGCCATGGGAGATGGATCGACGTACTGGGACGTTGTCYTCAGTATTGAGGGCGTTGTTTCAGTTGATTGTAGCGAYGAAGAAAMTGAGTCGAAAAGGGAAAGTTCTTGATTTACTGGTCCGTCTACATTCCAGCCCTCACCTGTGGTTATGAGGCGTGGATCATGATCGAAAGAACAAGATCTCAGATACAAGCAACCAAAATGACGCCTTTTTGTAGGGTGGCCAGGCTCAGCCTTAGAGAGAGGGGGAGGAGATCAGAGTAGAGCTGCTGCTCCTCTGCATCGAAAGGAGTCAGTTGAGGTGGTCCCCCRGGATGAGCTGGGGAGAGGGAGGTCTGGGTTTCTCTCCTGGACCTGTTGCCTCCACGACTTGACTAATAAGCAGCAGAAGATGGTTTTTGATAGAATTTATAGAACATAAATAAGTCGTAATCCTCCTTTTACAGGGTTCAAGTTAAATTTAAGACTTTTTAAGACCCCTTTAATGCCACTTGAAATGAAATTTAAGACCAACTTTACAATAAACAATACGGAAAAAAAAGTTTATTTTAACACAAAACAACTAGCTTTGAGAGGCATTCTGTAAATTATTTTAAATAAATAAATAAATGTTACCAATTATTTTAAAATTTGAGATGAATTACAATCATCCTATTCAGCTACAATGTGTTTACATTTTTAAGACATTTTAAGGCTAATAAAGGCCTTATTTTTTGATTGATGAATTAAATGCCTTTTAAGACTTTTTAAGGATTCATGGGAAACCTGTTTTGTAATTATACTAACTTATTTTTAGTCTAAAATTGTGTGTTCGTTGTAACTTTTGGACCAAAGGTTTTTCTTTCCTCTTTAGCTGTCCCTAAAAATAAAAGTGCTTTGCTAGCTGCATTTTTAGATGGTAAAGAAACACTTTTAATTAAGGSTGCATCGATCGCAGTTTTCTAGCCGATCACCAATCTTAAAAAATTCTGACCTGCCGATTTYGATTTTATTTTGTCCATTGCAGTTTTTTTAAGTAGCTGACACTGTCAGGTGCTATAAGGCCACAATACAGCTTCAATGTTCCAATCTTATTTTATTGAAAAACACTGAACAATACCCTTTAAATAATACACACTTGTTTTAGTGTTTACAGCAGAGCAAAAGGGCTGGTTTTCAGACCTTTGTGGAGGTAGATGAGAAGCCACTCTTTTCCACCAATCTTGTCGAAGTATCATCCATTCTCTAAAAATTAAGGAAATCGTGCTGATTAATCCATGCACCCTCAGTTATAAGGCCTTTTTTTGCAGAGGCACTTGTTATCAGCCTTAATACATCAATAACGCATCGAGCTAGGTTTGGTTTTAACAAGTCGTTTTTCATTTGATAGCTGTTTCTCGTTAGCAGGAAGTTGCAGTTCCTCAGGAAAGACCATTTACATTCAATTTTGTGTCGTTCAAAGCAAACGGACTCTAAAAAAGTTAAGAGAAAAGAAAATAAAAAGTCACTTTCATTATTTTTACTCTCGTGGARTTTAGTTCTTTGTGGTTCGTTCTGTTTGCAGTAATTGTGCCACGCTGTCACGTTTTGTTTGGAGCGCGTAAAAAACCAAAAAGCTCCAAAAGGCCGTRAGCGGCAGTTTTAATTAGGGGGACCAGAGTCCGTCCAGACCGGGACAAGGTGCTGGAGTCCGTCCCTGTCTCCGAACGCTGCTGTGAGAGAGAGGAAGGAACAGAAATGTCAGTTTGTGGTGGATGACTCRAGGTGGCGGTCAAACACTCGGTGCAGTCCGCTCCCAACATCAACAACACTTTGAACTCAACCTTTCAGCACACACACACACACACATACACACACACACACACGTTATGTAGCACTTGAAGACAGGACATCGAACCACAAGCATGTATTTCTATTAAAAACACATGAATAAAAGCTGCTGTCTTGAGTTTAAACACTTTCAGCAGGAGCCAGATGGAATTAGGTTTTGATTTTTGACCTGGAAACCTGTTTTTTTGACCACATGTAAACCGTAAATAAATATTTTTGCGATCCTTTTTTTTGCACAACTGCGTCACTGCAGTGCACTTTTCTCWTCATAATTCTAAAAACGATGACAGAAAGAGGCCGGTTTGACTCGCACGCATAAATACAGACACACACACACTGCTTTTATATCCTAAAATGTGTGTGTCTGTGTGTGTGTTTGCAGTGTGTGAGAGAATGTCCCATGAACACGATTTGTCCGTCAAAAAACATTTGACCAGAACCGCAAGAAAATAAACTAAACGTTTTTCTGCTAGACATGAGTCACTACTGTACGTGTGACCGCCGAAGAAAGGTGTGTGTGTGTTTGAGTGTGTGTGTGTGTGTGTGTGTGAGACACGGAAATGAGCCAAACGTATGACACACTCCATCTGTCTCCAGCTAAACATCAGACATATCCAGCTTCTGTCTTTTATTAACCAGGGAATTTTAATTCCTGAACCCAGTGCACTTTTTCTGCGTTTCATCTTTTTTTTCATCTTTAAATAAATGTGAAATCCTTCCTAAACACAAACAGAACACTAAAGAGCTTGATGTTTTCCTCCCTTTTAGCCCCTCGGATCCCCGTTTGGACTCCTCCCTGCGTCCCTCAATCCTCGCTTTTCTTCCTTTATCTGTTACTTTCCCATCAGTTCTCTACCTCATCTTTCCAGCTCCTTTGTGTTGTGTTACAATAATAATGCTGCTCCTGTTTCTCACTGTTTAAGGCCGTGTCACACTTTAATGTTTTAGACAACTTATGAACATTTTGTCCAACCCTAAAGATGTCTACACTGAAGATAGAATAAAAAACAAATCTGTTGGAAGCTTCTGTGAAGACTGTAACGCTAACAATTAGCTCAAATATATAACCTGATGATGATAAGAGTTTAGTCAGACAAAATTTTCATAAGTAAACATAGTTGTCTAAAAGTGTGACAGGGCCTTTAGTAAAGGTAAACCGATTAATGAGGCCAATTCTTTGCCCTTTTTTTTCTTTGACACCTGAGCGCATAAACTCCTGATTGTAGAGGCTTTTTACAGCAGGGATGCTTTATTCATGACAGCACCAGCAGTTTCCTAACAAAACCATGTCTTACTGTATTTACCTGGCTAAATTATGAGACCTTAATTCTTACTTTTTAAAGCCATATATATATATATTTCATTACATAAATTGGAAATGTTTTTTTAAAGGGGACATATCATGCATAATCCACATATTTTTAGCCCTGAAATGCATTTTGTTTTGTAACTGGAGTCTCTAAAAGTGCATATTCTGTTTGGGTCTTTTTTTTGTGTCACTTCAGTAGAAAACGAAACCAAATATTAGTTTATTTAGTTTATTTATTTCTCCRTCATCAGTGACTTTTTTTATAAGTGAAGAGAAAATAGAGACAGAGAGAAAAACAGATCGAGAAGTAATTAGAAAGATAGAAAGATTGAAATAGCGATTAGAGGTATATTAAATATACACCAACAAAACACAGGACCACACACCCAACATCTGTCCGCTCRCCTGAAAAATAAATGGATAAATACATRGAGGGCATATATAAAAATATACACATACCCATACATATATAAAGATATACATACATGCCTACATTCATAAATATTGTCAGTATATACACAYAGACATATATACACACTCAGTGACCAGTCAGAACCTCCCGGATCAGAGCACCTGTCTGTGAGCAGTTGTGAACATGCGTGTACATACAAGATTTCTCCAATGGAATATTTAATAGTGACTATGGAGGACCGGAGACCCAACCCCGAGCGCAGAGCCCCAAGGGGCTCCCGCACGGGAAGATCCGCCCACCCACCCCCCAGATCAGACCATAGGGGAGAACTGGGAGAGTCCCCCCAGCGACCACACGCACAGCCCCCGGGGCCCGCAGTGACAAACTCATGGGCCCCACCGGCACCCGCCATACCAGAGCAGATTCAGGAAAGGGCACAGAGGTCCGGGCCCYCAGGGCGCACCCCCTCCAGGCCAAAGCCCGACAGGCCCAGAGGCCCCGAGCCCCAGCAGGCAGTCACCAGGCCAGGCCGGCACACACCCCAGCGCCCAGCCCCAGACCCTGGGAACCCCCAGCATGCCGGCAGCCAGCCGCACACCCCACCGGGGGGCCGAGTAGCAGCAGGCCCCCAGATAAACCAGCAGTAGGGGCAGCCCAGACCGCAGCCTGACAAATACCCAAACATACACAATCGCACCCTCCCACCCTCATCCTCACCCCCACTCAGTCAAAGACATACAAGGACGCCACATTCCACTTATACCCCTGAAACACACTCTATACCCCCCAGGTCCAGGACATGCACCCACCTGCTATTGGAGGCAGCACACACCCAAACCCAGGAGGTAGACTGGGTCATATTTTTCAACCTGTCCAGTTTTATCTGTTTTATTTTCTTTCTTTTTTTTTTACATTTTCTAAACTACTATGTCACAGTTTTTGAACTCCTAAATAAGGTCTGGACTTACCAACTACAGTCTGGTGATCTTCATTCTCCTCTGGTTCTGGGTCAGACTCTGGCTCCAACATGTAAGGCTGAATGGACAAGTCTTCCTTTGTTGACRTCTTTTAATTCATTTGTAAAGAAAAAGTTTTGGCGCAGCTAGTCGTAAACCGCTCTATCAAACTAGAATGGACCGGTCTGGAAGTTGGAGGAGGGCAYCTCATTTGGATTTAAAGAGACAGCCTCAAAACGAGTTGATGTGAGACGCACCTCAGATAAAAAGTGAAAGTGGGGCTTATGGAGTTACAGTAAGGAGGAATTCATGCCAAAGCGTTGCAGTTCCACTTTTTGTAGACCCCAGCTGAAAAAGAGGGGTTTAAAAGCATGATATGTCTCGTTTAAGGAGGATATGTTGACTTTTTTAGTTGCAAACCAAGTTATTCTTGTTTTAAGTAAAAATATACTTACRTGCTTGTAAAAAATATGAATAAAATTTTAAAAATGCGAAGATAAAAGAAATGTGGCAAAAACGATTTTGCATGATCAAACCTGGATTTCATCAGGTTCATTCTCAGCTGTTGACTCATATTTCTATTATTATTATTATTATTTTTTTTTAGGGCACACCTCTTTTTTTACTTAAAGCAAATTAAGGTTTATAAAAGGTCTTAGCAGCTTCCTAATCATTTGACTTTAGAGTTGCTAACAGAGCTGGATACAATTCTTCRAAAACTTATAGCAAAATCCCATTTTTCTCTCTTTTCTAGTAGGTAGTGATGTGTGAATATTTCACTGTTTTATTAATGGGACAGAAACAATTAGCTGCATAAATTAGCCCTGATTTGTAAAAATTGGCATCGGTATCGGCCTTGAAAACCCTAATCGGTCGACCTCAACAGTGTGCGTTCTGACTTTTTCTCATGTAATTGTATTTTCTTCCCTTTTTTTCATCGTTTCATTTTTACATTCCTTTTCTCACAACTCATCCTTTCTGCTCAGTTCTTCAATTTTTCTTAATTCGTCTTCATCCCCTTTTCCATTTACCCTCTTTTTTATTTTCCTTTCCTCCACCTCTCTCTTTTATGACTCTTTGCGTCCTTTATTCCATCTCTCCCCTCGCTGTGATCGCTCCCTTTCTTCTCACGTCTCTCTTTTTCTCTGTCATTTTGTATGCAGCTCTCTCACATTCCAATTCATGAATTCACCACAAGCGGATTTAGGTGGTCAAAGGTAAAGAAGAATCATCACATACTTGTCTCCTTCTTTAAATGGTCTTTATACGATTGTGCTTTTATTTTTGATTAATTTTTTTCTTGGATCATATTTTGATTTAAGTAAATATCTGGATCAAAAAGTAGTTTTTGCTTCTGGTCTTGGAAACTCAAACAGGAAATTGTTGTTTTTGTGCCAGATTTACACTCWGTGCAGTAGAATTATTAATTTGAATGGCCAGTTGGAACAATCCTTCATTTATTAATTTCTTTTCCAAATTTAACCAATAAATATTGTGTTCTTCTCGTTTAATTTTAGCTTTGCAAACTAAGAAATTGTGCTATTTTTTTGTAAAAATAAATTAAGAAAAGGTACTTTTGAATATTTCTGACATGTCTCCAAGAAGGTGGGACAGAAACTTGTTTACAAATGTGTGGCATCCCCTTATTTTAACAACAATTCTGTAAATGTCTGCAGGTTTTTGCAGCTTTTCGATGATCCTGGGTCATCTTTGCTGGATTTTTTTTTCAAGATGGGAGCATAAGTTGCTCTAAAACCCGTAGATCTTTTTTGTTCCAGTGATGGTGCCTTTTCAAGATGCGTAAGCTGCTTATTCCATAGGCTCTAATGCACCCCCATACCATCAGAGAGGCAGGTTTTGAACTGTGCACTGATAACAGTATGGGTGTTCCGTTCCTCTTTAAGGTCCTGTCCCATTGTAACTTTTTACATAACTTATGCCGATTTATGAAAAAAAWTTGTTATGACTATTTTAATATATCTGCTAAATATTCGAGCTAATTGTTAGCATTACAGCATGTATAGGTCCGAAACAGGCTTCCAGTAGTTTTTTTTTTAATTCCGTCTTTAGCTTAGACATTTTTAGTCATCATAAGTTGGCACAGTTGTCTAAAAAGTGACAGGTCCATTATATCAGAGGTTCTCAAACTGGGGTCCCAGGACCCCAGGGGTCTGCGAGTCGTATCTTGGGGGTCCTAAAAATTTTAAATAAATTAATTTGGTTTTTATAAAAAAAATGCAAATGGGGATCAATGCACTAGTCAAACAAACATACTAAATGAAAACAAATCATAATATTCCCATGGCATTTAGGGGTTAATTAGGGGATCTCTGCTGGTAATTTTTCATCCTTGCAAGGGGTCCGCAGAACCAAAAATTTTGAGAACCTCTGCTTTATAATGGTGTATTAGTATATATTATAGTATATGGTATACAGTACATATATGTAATATATTACTATTTATAGTATATATGCATATATTATTATTTTTATTATTAGTACAGGTGAGGTAGATTTTGTGGTTTCCAAAAATAATTTCAAATTTGGATCCATCTGTCTACAGTATTTTACCTTTTCGTTCCAAATATGGAGGTGCTACATATAACTTCTTATTTGCATGATAGAGCTTTGACCTATTTAATGAAATTCATTGCAAAATTCTCTTCCATCCGTTTCTTTTTCATATTACTTATAGCATTTTGTTGCCCCTGTCCCAACTTTTTAGAGACATGTTACAGCCACGAAATTCAAATTTTACTTTTTTTCCTCCAAAATTAAAGAAAACAATTTCTTAGTTTCAACTTGTGATGAGTCTACGATGCTTCATTGTGGATAAAATGCATGTTTATGAAATTTGCAAATGGCTGATATATAATTGTATTTTTTTAGTTATTAAGAAAACCTGTTAACTGTTTTTTAGATCCCACCAGGTCTTCTTTGTGGACTTCTTGTTTATTAACTGTTTTTTCTTATTTTAGCTCCTTCTCTTTTATTCACTTCACRTTTAGTGAGATTTTTCTTTTATTCCTGTTTCTCAGTGTTTACCTTCGTTTTCAATTATCTCCATTTGGAACRAATCGTTTTCGGGTTCAGCGCTTAAAATTGCCGCCCATTTTTTTTTTCTTTTCTTCCTCTCTTTTCCGTCTTCGGGCGGTGGCCAAGTTGTTGTCTCGGCATGAGAAATACACACTGACCTCACACACATTAAACTGACACAGTGATATACAGCCAGTGCACGGAGGGGACGAACATAAAATATGTATCAGAATGGCAAGGGAGGAAAAAAAGACAACACGGAGAGGAGAAAGAAAACAAGGAGGAGGAAAATGACCCTTTTGATGTTGTGCAATAGAGCGTGTCCTTCCACTAACAGAGATTATTTAAACCTTTTGAGGCACAGTAGCACTCAGACACACACAAACACACACACACACGATACTCAGACATAAAGGCCTTACAGGAAGTAAGCTCTAAGACGAGGTAAAGAGGAATGATTTGGTAAAATGTGTGTTTATTTGCTCGCGCCAGGTGGAGGACCTGCTGCTCGCCATGGAGAAGGTGAAACAGGAACTGGAGGTGATGAAAGCCAAACTGTCATCAACTCAACTCTCACTGGCTGAGAAGGAAGGTCACCTGACCGCCCTGCGAGCCGAGAGGCGGAAGCACCTGGAGGAGGTCCTAGAGATGAAGTAAGAATATGAGAAAAACGCTTTTTAATACGTTTTTTTTTTTTCTTACGATGATGTGCATTTCAGCTGCACTTTAGCGTTAAAACCCTTCTTTTGTACAGAACTAAAAAAAATAAAGTTTTAACCTAACGATAGAGTTCTAATCAAACCTCTAAATAACTTAATTTTAGTTTAACATCTTAGTCAAAGAGTAAGTAGCACTTTGAGGGTGTTGTTCTTAAGCACACCAAATTTTAGCAAAATATCTGCAAAATCGTTCAAATCTGTCCAGAATTTTGTGCAATATATAGCTTTTTTTGTAATATAATGTATAGTAGTGGGGAAAATGCCTTTATTTCAAGTTTTTATATTATTTTAACAGTGTTGCTATTTTTGAAGCTTTACTCTTTTATTATTCTTTATTGCTTCAGGAAAATCACTGCGACTGTTCAGAAACCACAGCAATCAAAAATTATTTTATGTTTTTATGCCGTCTTTTGAACCACAAAACTTCCACAGGGACGATAAAAAATAAAATCCTCACGCTTAAAAAAAAATAAGAAAAGAAAATGTTTCCAATGGTTGGAAAGATGTTAAGTATTTTCAACTTTAAGCTTTGAGTTCAGCCACTGCACAGATTCCAATGAAACTTGTGGATTCAAGATGGCTGCCGCGACTAATGGAAATGCCTGTAATGCGGTCAGTTTCGCAGTTATTCAGCTCAAATTCAGCGTGGTGGTGGCTGAGCATCATCCCTAACAGATACTCTGAGCACAAGCTGATGCATGCATGATTGTTGTGTTAAAACTTTAGCGTGCAAGGTGATGTTTCAGAGGTAAAGTTGTCTGCGGGATGTGATTTTTACAGCTACAGGTGCTCTGTATTTATCCACAATATAAAATCTATGAGTTACTGCCAACTTTTGGGGCATCAGCCACACTTTTTTTTTTTGTTTTTAGATTTTTTATATAAATGCATTTGCAATACCTTGACAGGTATTTAGTTGTATTTCTGATATACTCTTTATGTCTTGAAGAGCGCAGAATAGGCT